AACTATGACATTTATCAATTTATGAATCATGTGGTGAAAAACTGACTTTGAAAAATAAATCTGTTCTTTTTTTATAAAAGGCTAAATAAAACAAAAACCTTGGTGGTAATCTTTGACTGTGTAACTTTACAAACGGCACCCCATAATATATCATGTTTGTGTTGTGTTGAAATTTATTGTCTCAATAAAATAAAACTAAATCTATTTTATTACAATAAAATAAAGACAAACAGCTGTTTTCTCTCTGCTGTGCTCCAGCGTCAGCACAAGCAGCCTGCAGCGCCACCATCTGCTCAGATTAGCAGAGCATTTGTCCAGATGTCCCTGCTTGACCAGATTACAGTAAGTAAGCCTTCAAAGTAAAAGTCTCAGTTTCATCAAGTATTTTCTGCTGAAATGGATGAACTATTTGGACGAAATTATTTGTTGTTTGTTGTAAATAATTTCAGCTGAAGTTTATTGTAAATTTGAAGTTATTTTTTTAAATAAAGAGCAGATTTAAGATTTTTTCTTCACTCTGCTCAATTTCATTAAGAACTTGTTTGTTTTCTTTTAATTATTGTGTTAGTTGTGTGTGTTTTTTCTGAGTTAAATAAATAAAACTGTCTCTGTTTTTGTTGTTTGGTGGTCAGGCTGCAGAGGAACGGCCTGCGGTCTGAGTGGATCCAGGACTTTGTGGCAGTTCTGAGCTGTGGTCAGAGAGGTCGCTCCGTCAGGTCAGAATAAAAACACAGATTATTTCTCTCTGTAATCTGCTGCTGATGGGCTGGTTTCTTGTTGGCAGTGTGGAGGAGAGCTGGATCGGAGCGGAGGAAGCCGTGAGTTTAACGTGTCGCTGCCTGCAGCTCAACACAAACCTTCAAACCGTCCGGTAAACTCTGGAGCTCTGACAGGAAGTCCTTCATATTTATCATCATTTCCAGCTCAAACTGTTTGTTTCACAGGATTCAACAAACAACTTTACACCTGAGCCTGAGGAACCAGGAGCCGAACTCCAGCAGGTGCAACTTCAGCTCATCTTCAGCTTTATCCTCACAGAGCTTCAGTCTGAGCTGCTTCCTCTAAAAAGAATCGTTTGATTTCAGGTGTGAAGCTGAACGTCCTGCTCAGTCTGCGGTCACAAGCTTCAGGTATTTATTTACTGCTTAGCTTGACAACAGCTTCGTTATAAAAACAACAACGTGGCAGAATTCTGTCATGTTTAAGGTTCAAAACAAAACTAAAAAACAGCATTTTCTGTCAAACTAATGACTGAACGACAGCTAAAAGCTGCAGAACAGTTCGAAACGGATTTGTTCCAGCTAACAGTAGCTAAAGGCTAATTAAAAGAAACAAATCATCAGCTAAAAGTAGTTAAAGGCTAATTACAAGAAGTAATCATCAGCTAAAGGTAGCTAAAAGCTAATTAAAAGAAGCAAACATCAGCTAAAAGTAGCTAAATACTGATTAAAAGAAGCAAACATCAGCTAAAAGTAGCTAAAGGCTGATTAAAAGAAGCAAGCATTAGCTAAAAGTAGTTAAAGGCTAATTACAAGAAGCAAGCATCAGCTAAAAGTAGCTAAATTCTTATTAAAAGAAGCAAACATCAGCTAAAAGTAGCTAAATTCTTATTAAAAGAAGCAAACATCAGCTAAAAGTAGCTAAATTCTAATTAAAAGAAGCAAAACATAAGCTAAAAGTAGCTAAAAGCTAATTAAAAGAAGCAAGCTTCAGCTAAAATTAGCTAAAGGCTAATTAAAAGAAGCAAGCATCAGCTAAAAGTAGCTAAAGGCTAATTAAAAGAAGCAAACATCTAAAAGTAGCTAAAGGCTGATTAAAAGAAGCAAGCATCAGCTAAAAGTAGCTAAATTCTTATTAAAAGAAGCAAACCATCAGCTAAAGGCTAATTAAAAGAAGCAAGCATCAGCTAAAAGTAGCTAAAGGCTAATTAAAAGAAGCAAGCATCAGCTAAAAGTAGCTAAAGGCTAATTAAAGAAGCAAAACATCAGCTATAACTAGCTAAATGCTAATTAAAAGTTTAAACCCAAATAAAAGTTTTGATTTGTACCATGGAAATGATGGAAGCAGCTAAAGAGGAGTTCACGGTGGTTTACTGGGAGCAGGCTGCTGAAAAACTGAAATTGATCGTAAACACGTCAGTGTCTGCACTCAGACCTGACGCTGCACAACTTTGATCATTAAAGTAAAATAATTCAGGATAAAACAGCTCTCAAGACTCTTCAATTTCTAAAAAGACCATTTCTAAAGTGAAACCATAACGCTGCAGGAGTTCAGGCTCTGATCACTTCCTGTTCCACAAAGTAACAGATGTGCTAACAGAATATAAAGCTTGTTCTTTAAATGAAATAAACTAAAAACATAGCCAGTTTCAGTTCTTTAATTGCCATTTTTAGTTTTAATACTGAAAAATTAACACTAGATTATTTGTTTTATTTTGAAAGAACAAACCAAACACAGAAAAAACACAAACAGGGATTCTGTGTAAGTTTAGTCAACAGATTTTCTTTTATTTCAACAATGTAAAGTTTTTTTTGTTGAAAGTTACTCGCTGACATGTCTGTGTGGTTCTCAGCCTGGTGGACTGCTCTGCAGACGGAGGACAGTTGTCTCCTCTGGGGGACGTCCTGCCTCAGTGTCCGTCCCTCACAGAGCTGGAGTCAGTTTGGATTTCATACCTTCAACCTTAAAGCTGAGCAGCACCTGGCTCTGCTGCTCTAACATCTCTGTGGTTTCTCTCAGTTTGTCCCACAACAGACTGGGTCCAGGCGGAGCCAGGTTCCTGTCGTCTCTGCTGCCCCTGCTGCCGAACCTCACCTGCCTCAGGTGAGCGCTTTAACCCCGCCCCTCAAAGAGAGTGAGACTGAACCTGACTCGGACCTTCTTGTCCTGCAGTGTTGGAGTCGGAGGGAGCTGTGTGTGTGTCCTGGAGGAGCTCTGTCAGGTCCTGCTGCGGACCCCGGCCCTCCACAGCTTAAAGTGAGGAGCGGACTTTTATTTTGAAGGAGATGTTTTAAAGAAACCATGGTTCCAAAAAAACAAGTGTGTGTGTGTGTGTGTGTGTGTGTGTGTGTGTGTGTGTGTGTGTGTGTGTG